AAAAATAATTGGTTAGAATAAAATAAGGTCTTTACAAGATGTCTAGTGTGTTCAAGGTAGTAGTTCAAGGTAATTAGTAGGTAGTTTTGAAAATATCGCTTTTTTACTAACTTGTTCACCCATCATAATGCTGGAGAGCAACGTGAAAACAAAGGGTGAAAACAAAGGTTTTTCTCTCAAAAGGTTTTGAGAGAAAGCCTAAATTTTGAAAGTTTATGCTTGTCCATGAAAATTTATTTAGCGTATTTTTTTCTATGTCTAAACTATTTTCCTTCCAGATTCCTGGAAGGAGACTAGAGATAAAAGTGTGTGAAAGTGTGGATCTAAAACTGGAGATAAAAGTGTGGATCTAAAAATTATGAAAATGTTTAAATGAAGTTTCGTAGAATGTGAATTTAAATTTAAGAATTTAGTGGAGTATTATTATGTATTTATGAATTAAATTTAAGGATTTTGTGGAGTACTGTAAGGGCTGACTCATGCTGCTCAGATCTTAGAATTTAAAATTCTCTTTCAAGACCATTAGGACCTTCTTTTCGAATTATTTTAATTCCGGTGGGAAAAAATGGATGGTATTTTATTTTAATTACACAGTTTTTGTGATTTAAGACTTTACTATAACTTCTTCTTTCTGTATTCCTCATATTCTTCATATTGCAAATTAGTTGTTTTGTGTATTTAAAAAACTAATTTGCAATATGAGTTTTTGAGTGTTTACATTATAGTTATATTTCGGATTTAACGTGTTGCTGGGCGATGCTTTAAAAATACGCACCGACCAGATGCAGTCTTGAAAATAAAAAAAAGTAATTTGAAGAAAGCTTAATCATAATAATCATCATTTATAAAAGCTTTGTCTTTGAGAAGAATAAATAACGTTGGCAGCGTTCTGCCCCTTCAATGGATTTTTATTGGTATTTGCCGGGAAACTAACGAAACCTCTGCTGTTACAGTGCTCGATGGGTAAGCCAGGACTTTGTTAAAGGCTAATGTTAATCGAAGAAAATTTTTAAAAAAAACGATCAGTTTATTTCTATGCAACCTATACAACAAAAGGGAACCAAAAAGCCGGTTTTGAAATCTTCAAAGTGAGTCACAAATTCAATTTTGTGTATTCACAATCTAGAGCCCGTATACATTTTTTTTACAATGATGTGTTCTAGCCGTTTGTAAGTGTTGGCTACTACAAAGGTCGGAAGAAGTTATCTCTTTTATTGTGGAGGCATTTAATAAGTAGGTCAGCGTTGCCTCCTGCGAAGGGACGTACAATTTACACCAATGCCTTCTCCAGCATTAGAACCTGAACTCTTTGGTAAGGCAGTTAAAATCACTAACCAGTTTCCCGTCTGGACAGCAAAATATAGAACAGGTATAAGGTTTTTGAAATCTGAGGGTAAGAAAGACAGAGGTAGAGTAAGGCACCATTTCAAGTCGTACTTAGCGGTATTCATATAGTGGAAGAAATTGTACCTAAGGGTAAAAAAACCTTGAAAACTACACTGGTGTGCAAAAATTAAGGACGAAGTCGAAAAATTAGCATATCAGCTGAACGAAGAGGCAGAGCAGGCAGAAAGACCAATCAGGAGATTAAGTAAGGTGATGTACGGTAGCACATGCGCAGATATGCAGTTAGACGTAATGGGGGAGTGTCTGAGTAGTATAAAGCATGTTGTTGGTGTAAGATCAGTATTTCTGGCAAAGAGATTGCACGCCGTATAGCAGTTAAAATCACACCGAGTTGCTGCCTCAGCGAGAAATGGCGAATAAACAATCTGTTAGACGGCATCTGGATGCTTTTACCCGAAGTAGAATCATTGGGAAGTTGGCCGCAAGTGTGACAAGTATGGCTGCAGAGTTCGGAATTGCTCACAGCATCGTTTCACGACTTTGGAGACAATTTCAAACTACAGGAACAGCTATCCGGGGGTTTAGTAGTGGTCATCCACGAGTAACCACACCCGCAGATGACCGGTATATTGCCTTACAGGCCAGAAGAAACAGGCGGCAGACAGCGGGAGAAATCACTAGACACACGACACAGGCGACTGGACGACCGATATCGCGTTTTACCGTGGCCAGAAGAATGCACAGTGATGGTCTGTTTGCACGACGCCCTGTACAGTGTGTACCTCTAACGCCTGCCCATCGGAGAAGGCGTTCTCTGTGGTGCCGGGAACACCGGAATTGGAGAGACAATGAATGGGGACGAGTACTCTTTACAGATGAGAGCAGATTCAGTCTGAGTAGCGATTCTCATCGCATACTCATCTGGAGAGAGCGGGGAAGCCGCAATCATCCCCTCGAACATCATGGAAAGGGACAGGTATGGAGGTGGCGGTGTTCTCGTTTGGGGAGGCATCATGCTTGGTAGTCGTACAGACCTTCACATCTTCGACGCAGGTTCAGTCAACGGGACCCGTTATTGTAACGAGATTCTTCTTCCATATGTGCGTCTTTTTAGAGGCGCTATGGGTCCGCAGTTCCTTTTCATGGACGACAATGCACCATGTCATCGCACAGTAGCTGCCGAACAGCTCTTAGAGAGTGAGGATATTGAACGTATGAATTGGCCTGCACGATCTCCGGATCTCAATCCCATCGAGCATGTATGGGATTTTCTAGGCAGACGCTTGGCAGCTCGTACCTTACCACCAGTAACATTTCCAGAGCTTCGATTGGCGCTGCAAGACGAATGGGCAGCAATGTCTCAACAACTCATTGACACCCTCATTCTCAGCATGGGCAGACGCTGTGAAACCTGCCTAGCAGTCAGGGGAGATCATATCCCCTATTAAAGACCGGATGTTTCTTGCTGGACACCCATCACAGGGATGTTTCGGCCTTCAGTCGCATTGCGCTCCATGCTACTTTTCAATAAAGCTTCTTTTTATCCCTCTGATTTCTCTTTTAGTAAGTGTTGCTTACATTACTCATGTCCTTACGTATTGGGGATCTTACGGTATTAAATGTGTTGATTTGGAAAGCTTTTGTACAAAGTTATATTGAAAAAACCGTCTCGTCCTTAATTTTTGCACACCAGTGTATTTTTCACTATACCGGCCGCACAGACGGTATAGTGGTTAGGGAAGCCTGGCTGCGATGCCGAAGGGCCGGGGTTCGAATCCCGGAGAAGGCATGGCAGTAACTGTCCGTCCCTTCATAGGAGGCAATGGTGGCCTACCTATTAGGTGCCTCCATAATAAAGAGACCACCACATCTGGCCTTGTATAGATTAATGGACTGTGTTACACTGTAACTGTTCACAATCTGCCACTGGAAAAAAAATTTAGACGTGACTGCCAAACATTTTCCACTTGAAACGAAAAGAAACTAATTGTATTAAATTACTGCCAACGTTAGCCAATCCATTTCCGTTGAGTACCTTCTTTCCACCGTGATGCAAGTGATTTACTATTGTAATCTATAGAGCGATGTATTTTTTTACCTCATATGTTAGCATTAACTATTTTTTTCCCTCTTTAGAGGATTACTATTATATTCCGAGAAGTCTGACATATAAGAAAAGCCTAATTTATCGCTTGCTTAAGTTCGATCATATTACTCATAATCTTGATTTTTCCGCCTTTAGATTGTGATGTGATATATGACGTAAGTCTAATATTGGGTATTGTTTCCTTTTCATAGCCAGACAAGTGGAGCAACGTGACGGCACAATACACAGAAGGAAAACTCTCTTAATTTTTTAAGGCAGTGTATAAACAATTAAACACTTTCCTTCACCTTCACTTGTCTTCTCTAGAAGGAAGGGAACTCTACTTCATTGGTATTTCAGATAGGTCTCTTCTAATAGAGTAGGACTATAACTGCGTAGGACCTGCGCATTTCGACCTGGTCAATGAAGTAGTGTAGACAGGTATTGTTTATTAACGGAAATATAAAAATTCTTATTTTTTTTACATATCCGATGTAATTATTTTAAGTTATTTTATTATTAGTATTCGCTTTAACTTTCGTCGAGCGTGGAAATTATTGGAGTTTCGATAAAACGTGTTGCCACACGTATCATACTCATCTGATATTATGCCCTCACACTTTCACTTGTTTCACGCTCTTCAAACTTTCTTTAGTGATGTAACATTCAATTCATAATCAGGTCGTAAATTAGCACCATGTATAGCTTTTCTCTATTAAACCTAGGTTTTTTTTGCGAATGAGGAATTACGAAGCTCATTAAAAGAAAGCAAACAGTTATCCAACAAAACGAGCAATATACTATTATCTGCTCATTTTCTTTATATAAATAACGGACTTTTAGAACGCATAAAAAAATGCGTCGTGATTTTTCATACAACCCAATATCATTTCATTTTATGTATAAAACAGTTAGTTTAGATTGTTTCAGATAATATTGTCTTATACACCCAAAATCTAAAGAGAAGTTGTTTAAAAAATATAGTCATGATTATTTCTACTTTGATAAATAATTATACTTTTCCATTTTTGCCATAAAATTTTTATTATTTGATTATGTCAATAGGGGCATAATAGAAAAGTAAACATAATTAAATATCATATTACTTTGAATAGTTTTTCATACATATCGGTGCAGATTAAGACTATATTTTTTATTGTTATCATTTATACGTATATTAGAATGATCGTAAAACATGCGTAGGAATTTCCTACATTCGTTAGGAGGTACTTTACGCTGTAATGGAAAAGAAAAATATATATTGCAGAGATCATAGTTCTATTTTTCTCAACAAAAGAAATGGCGTATATTTAATGTTATTACTAGGGTAATATTAACCTTTGCGTGCAGAAAATATATTCATACAAGAATAATTGCAAATAGCATTTCAAATAATCTATTTGTAATCTGATAGACAATATATATATAAATTTACACGCACACACACACACACACATATATATGTATACTAACTTGATTTAAATTGATTAAATTCCGGAAAGAAATTAATAACTATTAAATCAAATGTTTAGATTAAATATATTAATCTGTTAAAAAATCACTTAAATTCTGAAAATAAGAGTTATATTTATTAAAATACATATGATAAAAAAGAAATATATTTTCACCTTTTAAAGCTAAAATGTTACTTCAGATGATTATTATAGATATTACATGAAATCTTGAAACATTTTCTAAGGTCAAGCCAGCACATTAATACTTTCGTTTGTAATGAACTATAAACATTTGCTTCGTGGTATTAGCCGCATTTCCAGGGGTTGATAATTCCGTAGAATAATACCAGCCATAGTATGAATTTTATCCATTGGTTCTGAAGAAATAAGCTGGAACTTTCGCAGAATATGAGCCAGGATTGTTTTTTCTTCCATGAAAGCAAATCTTTGTCCTGCATAATGAAAAGATACACTTTGACATATTAAACATGAAATAGTTTTTCAATATCAGCAAATTTTAGCAAGTTTCATTAAGTAAATGTTTTCTTCTGAAACAGTTTTGCATTACTTCTGTTTTGAAAAAAAAGGGAACTCTTAAGTTGGGAGAACTTAATAATTAAAAGTACTACAAAGTAAGTAGATAACAGAAATGGACGCGTTCAAAGATTAAGATGAATGCGTTCATATGTATTAATGTACGCGTTCAAAGATTAAATTTCTGTTTTCTTATATCTATAATTATATTTATATCTGTTTTCTTATATCTGTTTCTTATATCTATAATTATATTTATATCTGTTTTCTTATATATGTTTTCTTATATATCTTTCTTATATCTATAATTATAAGCAATCTTATAATTTTAGATATTAGAACACACGTAGTTTATCACAAAGGCCTTGCGCGTCCAAAGGCAAGAAGTATTACTTTAAGAACCTCATCATTTATATATGAAGATATGCGCAGCTGTTACTTTGTGTAAGTATATGAAAGAAACAGCAAATCATATCATGTGCTCAGAAAAGTTAGCATCGATCAGATAGCACAGTGAAAGTTAAATCTCTGAGTCTCATTAAGTAGAAAATATCCGAAATCAATTACGAGTTTGAGAAACTCAGCAGTTAAGAAACTTTCCGGTACAGAAATTCGGATTGAATTGCACCTGAAGTCCGCGTTTTCAGTTGCAGACGCTAAAGAACCTTAGCGAAGGCAGGAGCTCCATTGCGGATATTGCATATTGCCACAGCGCATTGTAATCTAGATTAAAGTGATAGAGCAAAAGCTGTTTTCGATTCGATTTTGATAGATTCAAGATCAATAGAGTATCCTCTCGAGTCTCATCTTTATTTCAACATTATCAGAAATAATCATTATTTATTGGTTTCGATATCTTGTAAGGAGTTATCATATTCTTTCATTTCTTCTAGCGAGGAGTAAGGGTACTTGCTAGCAAACAAAAGGTCCGCGGTTAGAATTACAGCGAATGCATAGTCGGCTTGCAACTTTTCCTGTCTTGTAAATATCAAAAATACGTTCTATAATGACGTCCGAACTAAAATATGGGGGCCGATAATTTATCACTAATAAGAGTTGGTCGACTGGGTCTCGTGCCCCTTCCCAGATGCCCTTTGAGTGAAGTAGAATGTAAGAAAATATCTCATTATCCAATGTGTGCTACCGTGGTGTTAATAACTAGCCCGTTCAGCTAGCAGTTTGAAGATGCATAGTTAGAATCCCGGCGAGGGTACGATTGCATTTTCATCCTTCGTGCTTGCTCATGTGTAGTTGCGTGGAAGTTTTTTATGACAGGAACTGAAAGGTACGAGGTCCTTGTACTGCATGTACTGACACGTCTTTGTTTGTATAAAACGGGATGGAACAGAGCAGATAACTCACATTTCCATCGTTAAATAATCATTTCAGATAATAATCTACGTGTCTAGGAGGGAGGAAGGGATCTTGACTTATGATGCGAACTGAAGTCCTTTTCGATTTGCGAAATAAACCTTGTAGAAACATAGCAATTTATTAAGACGAATAATCATGGTAACTAAAGCAGCCTATTTGTCCCAAAAAGGACGTTTTTAGACAAAGGCTGTAAATCAAATAACCACTCTGGAATACTACTGTCAGAAATTCTATGTAGTCTGATGTCTGCTAGGCATTCAAACTGACCTTATTTTATATAGTTACCTTGTTATACCTCTTATGTTCCTTTCTATATATGCTTTCTCTTCTTTACTGCTATTATAATGATAGACTAAAACTGGCATATGTTTGTAAACCTGCTTATCTGTTGATTCGCACATTACTCAACGCCTCACAGTGTCTTCTGCCTGATTTGGACTTGTTGCAGCAATAGATGATTAGAGATGAGTATTTTTCGTGTTCACAAACATCGCTTGATGGACTATGACGTTGGACTCTATATTCTACCTTAACATGATTTTATTCCTTCCTCCATATTTTCTATGGACTTCGCCGAACCACAAGAGAATTATGAACTCACATGTGTTCGAAAATCTTTAAATGTCATGTTATACTGGGATAGCAAAATCATCGCGGGTACCCAAGAAAGCGTCGGCATCGCATCGCGCCTGAACCCAAATCCTAAGTCACAGCAAATTAGGATATTCATATATGATAATAAACTCTATGTGGACTTAACTCTTGCTTTTGCTGCTGCAGTTAGAAATAGGTCATAGCTATTTTGAAAAATTCATAAACGTTATGTTTCACATATTACATATATTTTAGCTATTTTTCTTTAATTTTTACTGTTTTTGAAGTGGAAATAAATCATCATTACTCTAAGCTTTATCATGCTTTAACTTATTGTGAAATGCAAACATTTCCTTAATATTTTACTACATAATTTAGAAGATCTTTTTGGATGTTTTCCTAGTAATAATACTTAAAATTTTAAATGAAAGAGATTTGATAAATTAAGAAATTAAATTATCCAAGTAGACTATTATTGTTAATAGGATATTAATCGCTCAGTTCCGTTTTATCTGCCTGCTCCGTTTTCGTCAAAAACACTACAAGAGAAAATTTGAAAATCTACATAAGCATTTCTCTCAGATATAATAATAAAAACTTAAATATTAGCATGAAAGCTGCATAATATAACTATATAAGAGGAATGCAATAAATAATACACCTAATAAAATAGAGGCACAGTATATACTGGCTTCCAAAAGTTAAGCAGGCAATGCTAATTAGCAATTTTCGAAGGCATAGTTAAATATGAGTGACTAAATATCATTGCGGATGCAGACGAAAACTTGTAAATATTGTATATTAGAGCCAGTTATGATTGACTGTTATTGAAGACGCCAGTATTCTGATGGATTTTAGGAGGTTCCTTTAAACTTTGATGCAAAGTGTTTCTAAGTTTCCTCGTAGGACACGTTTTGATCCCATCTGTGTTTCTATGGCTAAAAGAAAACGAATGGCAGATGGTGAGCACTGCATGAGCTCGAAAGCATTGAAACAACACAGTTAGTCAAAGATTTTTCTTTGGCATCGATCATTCAGTAGTTACTCGACATGGAAGCAATTTTGAACAAGTCAAACGGTTGACCAGAGACCTGTGCCCGGTCGAGCAGTGGTTACCACAGCTTCAGAAGATCGGTGTATTGCTCTAATATCCAAGCAGAATCGACAAGTGACCTCAACAGCTATTTCATCCAATTTGCACTGTCACTTGATAAGGCAGAATTTGCCAGTACTGTGCGCGGACGGCTTCACATGAAGTGACTGCACGCCAAATATCTGTGTTCCACTAACCGCCCAATCCAGAAGGGCAAAATTAAAGTAGCGTCGTCAATTGGATTCTCTCAAATTAGTACAACGTCCTATCCACGACGGTTTCCAACTTTGATCTGAAATCAGATGATAAACGTGTAAAAATCTGGAAAGAAAAAGGCAAATGGAATCAGGCTCAGAACATTATTCAAACGTAACGCATTCAGAAGGAGTAGCATCACAGTATGGGCTGGTTGTTCTTCTTTAATAGTAGAGTTAAGTTCTACTATTAAAGAGCTAGAAATTAACTATTATGATTTTGCGAATCTGCGTGCCCTTATAAGAAATTTACAGTAGTGTGCTGCAATTCCAAACTTATTTCCAGAAATGCTTTTAATAATTTCAATAGAAAAATGGAATATTTACCTCAAATGCACATTGTTTAACAACTACTTGTTTACTACAGAATTTCAATTTTAACAATCTCTTGACCAAACAAGATTAAAACGTTTTGCAGACACCTACACGTATATTGACGAGATAATTACTTCTAATAATTATGATGCAATAGAAAAATTCCAAATATATCCTTCTTGCTTAGAAGTTAATAGAAGTAAAAAAAAGACAAAAAATTATCTGAAAGGTTCAGATTTTAAGGAGCTCCCAAAAGGATTTGTTAATGATTTTTACGTTTTTGTTGAGCTCGCAGTCTACTACGCTACCATTGCCACTCACTTCTGCTAACCCATTTCTTTTTGCTTTCTTAGCTTTATTATTAAATATTATTTTCTTCGCACTTACGCCACATGCAATCCAAACACAAAATTACAAAAATTTTAAACATCATAGCAGTATATTTTTAGAACTCCAAATGCAACGTTAAGTGTTGGCATACATTTTTCTGTTTTTTTCAGTCATTTCTCGGTGCAACAACCACAAAATATTTAAAAACAGTATATCTTGGAGAAAAAATGCAAAACGTGTAAGTTTTGCCCACGAGTGTTGCTATTTAGTTGTTATTAGCAATTTCGTTCACTCTATCCAGGAGAGTCTATCCATGTCCAGGAGAAGTCGCTTGCTCGATTTGTTGAGGTAGCGGGAGATCGGATGGATGGAAGTGGAGATGTCACAAGCTGATGCTCCTAAATGCCTCAATGTCTCTTGCAGTGAAGTCCAACGACTATGGAATCAGTTTGAATCCGAGGATTCTGTTTCTAGAAGACATGTTCTAAGCAAGCCAAGAGTTACAACACCTGCGGGAGACCTTTATTTAGCTCTTTCGGCCCAAAAGAGAAGCGACATTACTGTTCCTGAGCTCATGTCAGATCCTTTAGTGGTTACAGGAACAAGAACCTCAGCTACTACAGTGCGCAGATGCCTGTATGTTAGAAGACCAGTTGTTCGTGTCCTCTTGCCCTGAGGACACAGAGCTGCCCGTTTATGTTAGGCAGGAAAACACATCCTCTGGACCACTCAACAATGTGCTTCTCTTCTCTTCACAGAAGTGTCTGGGTTCACATGGGGGAGTAATTCAGGTCGTCAGCTGATTTGGAGGGAAAAACGCACGAGATACAACAAATCCCAATTGTGAAATGACACAGTTACAGAGATTGTGGAATAATGATTTGAGCTGGAATCTCTCTCGGTGGCCAAACTAACCTGCATGTGTTCCATGAAAAAACTTTAACCGGTGTGAGATATCGAGACGAGATCTTTGATCAATATATCTGCCCATATGCCACTACTATTGGTCCTGTATTTCTTCTGAGGAACAACAACACGCGACTGCATCGAGCTCGGGTTGATGAAGAATATCTTGAGGGTCATGGTATGGAGCGGGTGGAATAGCCAGTTCAATCTCCAGACCTGAATCCAATAGAGCACTTTTAGAACTACCTTGAAAGACAGACTATTGCTTTAAATCTTCCTCCAAGGTGTTAGAGGATCTTAAACAAGGATTAATCCGTGTATGGTCGTTGCTTCCCATTGCATTTACTGACAACTTAATTGACTGCATGGAACGGCGCTGCCGCCGATGCATTTTAGCTTAGAGGTGAACTTATTCCTTATTACAACCTATTTTTGTAATGTTACCATCACATTTTTTCTCGAAAAACTGTGATATATTGTTTCTCATTTCTCTGCCAAGAGTGCAATTTTTTGTTGTAATTCATGTTTGTGTTGATCTTAAGAAGCATTATACGTCGCATTCATTACAGAACTGTTTCGTGAACATGTCCGCTAAATTTCTTGTTTCTATGTTGTTTCATTCTCAAATTAGACACCAAAACCATGTCGTTCCTTAATTTGAAGGGCAGTGTACATAAAATATTTTTGTAAATACTTCTGGCAATCATACTTTTTAGATATAAAAAAAAATCCCTTTCGCATTGACTTTCAGTCATTAATTTATTAATTATAAATTCAATTTTACTCTACATTTCTTAATTTTTACCGCTCTTACCATAGACTCTTATTTTCTGCCCCCTCTTTTTTCTGAATTGTTTCGCTGGAATGAATTAGTGCCAGTGCCAACCCCTTCCTGTCTCAATTTAACTCCAGTACAGAAGCAGTTATAAAATACCAATAATATGGACTCTCCCAAACGTTAATCATGACAAACCTAAGCGTTTCAAGCTTGTTGCTGCGATAGTGCCGATCTGAAATAGCTTTTGAATTGGAAAGTTAAGCAAAGTTTCAAATTAATTTTGACCTATTAATCAGTATGAATTACAGGCTTATGTGCCATTTATTTGTTTATTTCTTTCTTTTAATTGGCATCTACATACTTATTTCATTTTTCACATATTTTTTTTACTTTTTTAATTTCAAGTATTATTTTGTATGACTCCTATATTTATTTATTAAATTAATTGGAATTAATTGTTTTTTCGCGCGTCGGGGGATTATTTCCCATATCTGAACTTTTAAGATTAAAATTTTCATTTTATAAACTTTAATAGAAATTTAAAATTGGGGTAGAAATTTTATTCACGTATGCGAAATGACGAAACGCGCTTCTCATGAATTGTCGATCGTCATATGGAGAGGTTCCAATTTCCCTTGATAATTCGGCATCTTTCTATTTTGGAATCACCAATAATTGTGTTGTTGTTTTCTTTGGTTTTGCATTTTAATTAACAATTCCAGTTTAATTATTTAAATTTCCAATTAACAATTTTCACACTAGTATACATTTGCTATTTAAATTTCACTACACATTTCATAAAAAAAAATAATTTTTGCATACATATTGTCGGTTAAATTGAATTTTATCATAGCAGCAATAGAGCAATATTTTACTTTTTAAGTTATAAAATTCATTCATTTTATAGTTTTCCCCACAAGCTGGAAAGGATAAAGTTTTATATTTATTTTTACCTTTTCAGTTGTTCTTTTATCTACAGTAAAAATTAAGGAAAGGCTGATTCACTAACACATAGAAGGAACTTCTAAAGGTGAGCATTTAGTTATAAATAATTAATTAAATAATAAGGCAACTTTAGTTTTTATAACAGGACATAGAAACGTGTGATTTCTGCATCACAGTTGATGCAAAAACATAAATATCTCGATCAATATTAGTCATTCCTTACCAATACAATTTCTTGGGCCAGCGGAGAATGGAACATACGCAAAAGGATGTCTTCCAGTGGCATTTTCAGGCAGGAATCTATTTGGATCAAATTTCTCTGGATTTGGAAATTGTTTCGGATCCCGATGAAGCATCATTATCATTATGAAACAAGTAACTCCAGGTGGTATCGTATAATCCACTGCATTCAAAAAAGAGAATGTAATATTCTTCTATATATTATACAACTTATCATCTATTTCACTACCTTCAAATACATTATTCAAAATAATAATAACGCATTGTGTTAAATACTATAATATATAATCTGAAGTATAGCCTGGTTTTTCTCTAACGAGGACAAATTTGAAATCTTCGATAATATTGAGAATCCTTAATCCAACCAATCAGCGAGCGTTAAGGCCGCTAAATTACGGTATTTTGAATCGGGTTCGAATTCTGGCGAGTAGGCTGGCTGAGCGTGCGTTTTCGTTGATTTCCCTACATGTACCATGAAAATATTGACTTGCACCTTGCGAGAAAGTAATCTATTATACGCCTTCAAAGCCATAGAGTTAATGTGGTACATCCGAACATTTGCTTGTCCTTTGATTATAAAATGATGCTAATTTAAATGATGATGTAATATTTGTATATGCGGTTTTTAAACGTCTCAGGATGTAAATATATTTCTGGTAAAAACATATTGAAATTAGATATTTTTCGACATTCTGCGGTTAATTACCGTAGCTACTAGCAAAAGTTATCCAGTAATTCAAAAGGTAATTTTTATATTAATAGTGCTCCGAGTTTCATTTCGCATTTGAAACATCAAAATTTGGAATAAAATGTGTTATCTTATATAGTTACTAAACTTCTCTACTTATTATTGACCATTTTACAGAAATATTTTCAGAGAGTGAAAATAAAATTTCTTTTATAATTTTTAATAAATTTAAACTAGAACTGAGATTTACAAGAAGCTCCGCTAAATTCACTTAATTCGACTAAAGCAAAGAGGGCTTGGAAAAAAAATATAGTGGTCCCTTCTTCAAAATTCCTAAGCCGGACGATAAATTACAAATCACCACAAATACATCTGATTTCGCGAAACGAATCGCGTTTATGCAACACGGACATCTGGTAGCATATTTTAGCAATACACATAATCCAACTTAATCATATTATATCGCTACCGAAAGAAAAACATTAGCAGTCCCCCTGCAAATATTTCGAAATTATTTTGGAAAAGGCCGGTTGTTGTACATAGGGACTATGCTGCCATTAAGAGAATTTGTCCCCCAGACCCATAAGGTGGGCTTTTAAGTTACAAGAATACAATTTAATAACTAAACACACTGTCGAGGGAAAACATATTGCAGCGGCTACTGTATCAAGAATTAAATTATATGATGAGAAGAAGGATCTGAAATGTGCCACGTTAATCCCTAAATTTTTAAATTCATGAGAAATAATTACATCTGAATTTCAACCACAAGCAGAATTTTAAGTCATCTAAGCTTATTTGGAAGATCCCGATTACTCCGAACATTATGATATAACGGAGACTAGGAACAGGGTCTCAAATTATGGCATCATGGTTGACCTTTTGTTCTGTACGAAAAGAACAAATAATAACAACGAATTACAACTGATTATCCCAGCAACTTTAAGATTCAGTATTTCACATGAATTGTATGATTCGCGTTCATTAAGTCCTCTCGGAATAATACAAACAGCGCACAGACTAAGAAAAGGTGTTTGCTATCCACAGCTACGAAAATTTTTAACGGACAATGTCAAGTAATGTAACGCTTGCCAGTTAGTTTACAATATTCATTATAATCCACCCGGCTAACTAAATAGCATAAAAGCCACATTCCCTATTAAAATCGTAAGAACCAATCCATCAAGTCCACTGACTCGTGATCCTTGATAATTTTTCGAATAGAGTAGAAATAATTTCCCTTAAAAGAGCGTTCGCAAAACTTGTAAGAGATTTACATTAAAATTAATTTATATTGCACAATAGAGCTCCAGTAAAAATAATCTCAAACAATGGGAAGCAATTCGTAAGTCAAATTTTTGAGGAAATATGTACGGGTCTTCATAAGACACTTGAAATGATCCCTTATTGACCCCATTCTAAAACGGCGGAGCGAGTGAATAAGAATTTAGTTTAAATTATCCGCAGCTGTATATAAGAAATTACCACCTATCTGGAATTAACTGTTTAAATGAATCAGACTATGCATTCAAATCGGTAAAGCACGATAGCACGGGTAAAACTCCACCTGAGATACCATTGGCCAGAAACTTGATTATGCCTCACGATAAACTGTTTTTGTCGAAACGAGTTTCCGAAGAGTTCAAGTTTGCAAATATTCAGAAATTAGTAGGTGATATTAGGATAAAAAGTGTTTTTATAATATGAAAAGGCGTGAGGTTAATTTTAAGGTGAGAGCTGAAATTTTCAAAATTAAGCATTTTTTCCCTCGGTGAAGTGAAGAAATTTTCATATAAGTTTAAAAGCCCCTTTTTAATTGAGAGAATCATGGAAACAGTTGTGTTTTAAAAGCACAAAATGGTGAATCTGTAAAAGTGAATGTAGATCAGATGACAAGATGCTATGCGAGGGCTGATACTCCGGTGAGCACAAATGTGTGCGGTTATCGAAGCTTGAGAAAGAAAGAACCATCGAAGAATGCGGTTGATCCAGCTTTCATAGTCCATGTTACGAGACCTCCAAGAAGAAAGAAGGATTCCGAGAATAAAAAATAAAATAAAACAGTGAGGTTTGATAATGCTTCAAAAAGAACTACAGAGGATGTCGGCCAAGAAGAAAGAAGAGAACAAGGAATAGGTCCAAGGATTAGTGATTAGGTCAAGGATCTCTGAGATATGGCGACTACTCGATCACGAAATAACGGCAGATGGGAGGAGGGGAAAAATTTAGGGAAAACAAAGCCAGCAGAAAACGTATAGTGAGGGGAAATGACTGGTCAGCCAAAGCAAAATCTACGGTACAAAAGGCCGTCGGAAGAGGACCAGTGCAACGAAACGTCAAGAGAATTAGCAAGAATAAACCACAGGTGGCAGGAGACCAAGTATGGTCCAGGTCCCCTTCCTGGTAGATCACCTACCAGGAAGGAGCCTACCAAAGAAAAGGCAGCTACAGCTGAATTTTCTGAGAGGCAAAAGAAGTCCATAAGGATAAGGAACCATGTAACAGAAGCTAAAAAGGCAACCATATGACGAGGACGCATAGTTTCAAACCAACCGCATAGACGTCAAACAAAACCGTCGCCAGTTGAACGTAGACGAAGGTTCTGTTGAAGTGAATGTCCGAATTCTACAAAAATAAAGATAAGTCAAAATTTATCTTATTTCTTTAAATATCCAATTTACTTTGTATATATGAACGAGTTGCTACTACTCTTATTTTTACCTCAATAGAAGATATCTAAGTTAAAATTCAGCGAAGATGTTTTTTCGTTTAATGACTTCATCTACTATTTTATGTATATTTACTAAATTTATTTCAAAAGACTGTAATGAACAGAAAATTTTGGCACCAGTGCAAAGCAAATAAGAATAGCTATTGTACATTTTACGTAACGTTTAAACTAAGTGAAATAATCCTTTAAATTATGATATGTTGAATGCAATTTGATGCATTGTATGTTTGTATGTATGAATTATGTTAAGAACGATGTTGTAAGTAGTTGTTGATGTGCTATAAATGTGTTCTGATGGAGTGTAGTGGAAATATAAAGTAAGAGCTAGCAGATGGTAATGAACTAATGTAGAATAAAAACTAGTATAGTGTAAATGAGATTATTTAAAAGTCAGGCTCTCCAGCCAACATTTAGAAGGTAAATGAAAATGAAGCCTAGAACATTATACGTAGATTTTTTTAAATAAGATACCGTATAGATCGATCTAGTGTTTCTAATACTATTAGATATTTAGATATTGCGTTAATAAGTAGTTGTTGAAAAATATTGTACTTTTATACACTGGCTCACCCTCCACAATGTTGGATAGCGAGGTGAGGAAAAAGAATTTAAAGAAAAAATGTTGTGAAACAATACGTGAAACTGTGAAAAGCAACCTGAATAGTTGTAGCTTAAATATTTCTATGTATAAACTATTTTCTCTTCTTGATAGAAAAGAAGTGTGACACAAAATACGGATGGATCAAAAAATCTGAAAATATATGAAGACAAGCTGTGTAGAATTTGAATTAAAATTTAAGAATTTATTAATTGATTGTAAAGATCATCTCATATTGTCAGAATTTTAAAAATCTTAGCTAAGACCGTTAAGATGTTTATGTGTATTTATATAAATTCTGGAGAGGAAAATGTAAGGCAGCTTATGTTAATTAACCAGTTATTATGATTTAAATCTTTACTATAATTTCTCCTTTCCGCATTCCTCAGCAAAATTCAGATTAAATTTTCGAGTATTTTAAGCTGAGGATTTTTAATTTTAGAGCTCCTGGCAACGACGTTTTGCGGTTATTTTTCTCGCTAGCCCTGCTTAAAAGTTAATATTCCGGCTTTAGCATCTGGCTATCAGATATTCTAAAATATGCACCGGCAAAATATCTGACCAATCTTTTTTATGTGCAGTTACACTATGTTTCTATGTTTGAATTTAATTTTGTTATGTTAATTTAAATATTCACAAGTAGTGGAAATTTTATATGTAGGACAATTTAACCCTAATCTGTTACGTTTAAAACTAAATAAAACGTTTATTTTAACTTTTAAGTATTTTATAAGTTGTTTAAGACGTAACAACTCGTTATTTGTCTCGTAGAATCGGCACCACTTTACTTCCATTTATAACATAAGACACACATGGGCGAGGGTATTGAGAAGTGAGGACATTTTTTCAGATTTGGAATCTTGGACCCATGTCGCTTCTTGTCCCACTTACCAACTTCTATCAGCTAGAGATTAGACTATGATAGCAACATTCTTTACCGTTTATACTCTGAGATAGGCTTTCTGCAAACATTCAAGCACTGATTAAACAGTCGCTTAATAATCATTCATTATCATATCTAACACAGCGCTGACGTTTATCCTCTGATAATGGTCACAGGACTCATTGTCGTGGTTCATTCAAAATTCTTTCGAGTCCACATTTAAAGTCAGCGACCTTACGTTAAAACAGTCGTGAATGATGTAACCGTCTTTTTCTAACGTCTGTAGCACATGCCGGATGAATTTCTATTGCACCGAGACCTTTTTGATTAGAAGTTCCTAATAACCGTTCTTTAAGCCATTCTTTTCTCTGGCATTTCCTATTTTCTACCACTTCCCCCCACCCGGAAAAAAAGAGGTAAATAAATTAATTTTATAAAATTCTCTCGTAGTATGTCATGAAATTCCATCTTCAAATTTTTAATTAATTAGCATCACATCTCTACGAAGCTCAAAATTTCTCACCTATACCTATATATAACCAAATATATAAATTGCCAATTAAACGTGTATACTAGCCTCAAATAATTGCTTAAAATACTATTCTTTTATTAGGCTTTAGCCTAAAAGAAATAGATCACAGTATTTTTTTCAGGGTTGCAACATTTACTAATACATCACTATAGTTCGAAAATCGTACTTACAAACTTGTATATTTTCATGTATTTTCCTCGCTATAAAAGGAACAGAAGGATACAATCGCAGACTTTCCTGAAATATAAAAATAGCATGAAACGACACTATCTCCAACTACATTTTATGTCATATTCTTCAAATTTGGCATTTTTACTAATTTCCATAGCTCGAACTTATTAGCAAGAAAATACCTAAATTTTACATGCTATCAAATTACTAAGTGTAAGGTTAACAAAGCAAAATGGTTCCAAAATCGTCCAAAAAAGTAAATAAGCTGTCAAAGAGAAATTATATACAAAAAAAAAAGTATGTATCATACAAAAAACAAGCTACCCTACAAGATAACCATATTTTTTTTTAATTTTGATTTTTGTCTTTTGAAAACGTTATGGAACATTACTGTGTTTTTGCTGCCATAAAATAAACTGCCATAAAATTTGCATTATAAAATAATTTAAAAATGGTAATATCTAAGACAGCTACTTTTTTTAACCCCAAGGCCCATTAGCCCGATGGTTTATTAGTCTCGAAACGGCATTTTGCGTTCAATCACTTAAATGCGATGTATCACTTTTCGTATTGTTACCACCAAATTTTATCTCCCTGCATTATATTTAAGTAAACTAAATAATGAAGAATCTGCACGAATGTCTGCATGTTTTTCGCATTGTGCAAAAACAACGGTACCTAGAGTCATCAAATTTTAAATAACATAGTCCTACACCCGAACATAGGCACCTGGAAGCCTGAATTTGGAATTTGAAATTTGTTTTATTGTCTGTTTCATAGTTCGTAAAACTTTAACGAAATTTTGATTTAAAAAACTCAACAATTTCAAAGTGGCAGCCTGTACGAAATAAAACATTTTTATCTCCAGCGCGCGAGACTGTCTATCTGAAATTCTTGAGATACGCTGTTTTTAAATGTTTCTAAGCCCAAACTGGCGTTAGCCCAAATGCTGTCGAAACGCATATGTGTCTGTAAATGTAAACAACCATAAAATTTAAATCTTAATTATCGTAATCTTATTTAACTTAATCGTAATTTAATTAATCTTAATCGGTATTTAAAATCTGAAAGTTTTCCGATTTTATTTTTCCAGTTTTTTCTCCTTCCTTGAAAATCAAATTTACAAATTACAAAGTACAAAAAACAGTGTTTCTGGTTTGAATTTTCGAAAATAAGTTCCATTCCGCTTGGTCGTGCTTTAATTCTGAAATTATTTTACGATAATAGATGAAATTAAGTAGTTGCTTTACATAAATTTACGCATATGAAAACAACACGTGTAAATTACTGCCATCGCCATTGGTAGTTAGTCAAATAATTAAATTTTTTAAGGAGATTGCATCCTTTCTTCTTAAAACTGAGCTTGAAAGCTGTGTTTTCATTGAACTGAAACAATACCACTGCAACTAGGAATTTAAACCCATAATAATGCATAGGAAATACGGCATTAGCCGTAAAGTCCGCAAACGCGCACCATGCAATCAAGAAATTACAGGAGCTTCTACCAGTGGTAGAAAAGTGGTGTACGACTTGGAGAATTGCTATTAATGCCAGCAAGTCGCAATTATTATTGATAAGGAGGAAAAATACACAGTTGACTATTAATAGCAAGCTCTTCTTATTCTCTGAAGAGATTCCTAGAGTTAGTAAGGCGAAATATTTAGGAGTAATGCTAAATGAAAGATTAAAATGGGGACATCATATAACAGAGGTCAGAAGAAAAATTTTCGCTGTTGTAAATAGTCTCATCCCTATATTGGGTAATTATTCTAGCTTAGACCTCAGGAAAAAGAGGCTAGTATATATCACGGCAATTAGGCCATTGATGACTTATGCGTCGTCCGGCCTGGTGCACGGCTACCAAAGACGATATAAAAAGACTTCAAATCATGCAAAACAAAGTCTTAAGGCTTATCACCCATGCTCACTTTTTTGTGAGCAATGCTACACTGCACTGTGACTTACACTGCACTTGACACTCTAGAAGAGCACCTGAATAAGATCAACAGGAAATTCTTCACGAAAGCTCTGAACTGTGACCATATGAGAACTTTTGATATCTTTACCTACGAAATATTGAATGAGGACGCCAAACTGCGCCCACTTGTGGCCCACCTTATCAGGGACCCGAACTTTCCCACCTAGTGCCCACCTGTAAATAATGTACCCAATGTGTTTATTAGCATTCTTAATTTTGTATCTTACTCATTTATTGTACTGTGTATTTCTTAAATTCACTAGTTTTATTCACATTCTACACTCATTTTATGACTCCCACTTAGTCACGCCTTTACCGGGCCGGTTACTTGCTGGTGAGCTCTTGCGTTGCTGGTCTTCCTATTCTTTATCCGTCTTTGCTCCTTACTGCGGACATTATGTGAAGATAGTTCTATGTTATTGTGCCCATCTGGCATAAATTTGATTGAACCAGATAAACTACTGATCTCAGTGGTATTCTGGCTATAAGTTATCAGTCAGTCAGTCAGTCAGTAGGAAATAGCGATCTCTATATCTCAATATTAGGAAACTTCTGGGAGTAATCCATTTTTAATTTAACAAAATAATACAATAAATAGTACTATAAGGTATTTTCTCCCTTCATCCAGCATGCATTCGTGGTATAACGGTAGCACACTCGGCCCATATTCGAGAGTTTCAGGTTGGAATGCCGCCGAGGTCATTGCACATTTTTCATGTCTTTTGTTGCAAAATAGCCTAATGACTGTAGTACCACGAGATGATCTTGGAGAACGAGTGACACTTCCTTTAACGGATCTAAAACGGATGAATGCAGTGTCATTCCTATAAAACATTACTTGGGAAGAAGAAGTCCATTTTTTCATTGATAGTCAAAACTTCCAAACATTCCTCACATTTTACATATCAAATTTGATGCATTTGTTAAAAATAATTGCCGGATGTATTTTTTTTAATTAAGAAACTGATACAAAACTCCTCGTGTTGCACAAAGTATTCCTAGAGGCTTACAGATGTAAGTAAAGAACTCACAGTACAAGAAATTAAACAATAAAAACATAAAATATAGGCATGGAAACAGCAACAAATATATATATATATATATATATATATATATATATACACCTATCCCTCGATTTACACGGAAGATAGGTTCCGCATAAAACCGTGTAAATCGAAATCTTGGATTCTGCTATGTAAAACCGTGTACAATGAAAAACACTCTAAATGTGCATAATTTAGTTATTTATTTACATAAGTCAAAAGTAAGGCATCTTAAAATAAATAAAGTTAGACTTCGTTCATAAAATAACAAATATATGTAAATAATAGAATTACGTATTTAATTTATTTTACATTAGGAAAATATAAGATCATTCAAAGTTCAGTCATCACTTTCATGAACTAACTATTAATAGTTTCTTCTTGATTGGTAAGCCACTTTCACCACTTGAGCGTTCTTGACAAGATTCTGCTTTAATCGTTGACGAATTAGGGAAGATCTCAGATCGACAAAACTTTGTAGTGAAATCCGTAATTAATAATTGCCTATGGGTTTTTTTCCTAAATCTTTGTAAACCTCATCATATTGATTTCAGCACTTACTAAGCTCCCGTTGGAATCGGAGAGCTCGTTCAACATTCGTGTCATATTGTAAAAAATGATTACTAATTTTCTTCCCATTTCAAGTCCTACGCTGATGACTCTTTCTGTAAACGCAACTGGTTCAGATTACTCTTCATCAGAATCATTGTCTTCATCATGTTCATTTGTTTCATGAATCAGGTTAACTAACTCATCCTCATTTAGTTTTTCAGCAGCCATTTTTTCTTCAATACCTGCCTCAGCTAAATCCTCATAACCTTCTCCTCCTATAGTTTGGGCCAATTTAATGATCTGAGAATATTCATGCTCTAATAGTAATCTAGCAATCTCATCTTTAGCAGCATCCGGCCATATTGCTTTCCAGCATGCGTTGACCGTTAATTGTTTAATCTGAGTAGATGACAGTCCAACATGCTGAACACAATCTAAGATTGTAAATTTCTTCCAAGATCCATAAGAGTAATAGATTCATCATTCTCCATTTGTTCTAAAATATACCTGAAGGTTTGTTTGATATACAATGCCTTAAAATTCGAAATTTTCTTGATGTAACGGCTGTAATAAGGAAGTTGCATTCTTTGGTAAAAAGACAACTTCTACAATTTCGTATTGTAAATCTTAAGGATGGCCAGTGAATTTTCAATTAATAGAAGAGCCTTAAAAGGCAATCCCTTTTTACTTAAATAATTTTTGACATCTGGGACAAACATGTTATGAAACCATTCACTGAAAGCTATGGCACTGACCCTTGCTTTCTTATTAGCCATCCAATAAACGGGAAGATTATTTATGTTTTTCCTTTAAATGAACTCGGTGTTTTTGATTTGCTAATAACCAATGGTTTCATTTATAATCGTCTGAAGCGTTGCAAAAGAAAAGAATCGTTTTTCGACTTTTCGCAACCTTATGACCACTAGCCGATTTGCAAGCTTTAACTAAATGAGTTCTTTCAGGCATTTTTTCCAGAACAATCCGGACTCCTCAGCATTGAAGATCTGATCAGAAGCGTAGAAGTTGGTGGAAATGATTGCAGCAAATTTTGCTGGATATTGTTTTGCTGCGTCGTAATCAACAGATGCTCCTTTCGATCTTATATTACGTAAAGAATGTCTTTGTTTAAATCTCTCAAACTAACCATGAGTTGCTGAAAACGATACCGTTTTTTTCATTCTTCGAAGTCGACGGTGACTGATTCTTAATGCTTTGTAAATATCTAAAACCTTATTTGTAATAGCATTAGTATCAATTGCAATCCGCTTTTCATTTTTTGTCTTCTATCCATATCAGTAATGCATTTTCCATATTTTCCATTGTAACATCTCTTACATATGAAATTGTGCTCTTATTGCTGCAGGTTCCAGCTGCTTCACTTTTTCTAATTGTCCTTATTGTAGCTTCATGGAGTAAAACTTAGCAACATCTGTTACTCTTTCTCTATTACGTAGACGCTCTAATATTTTAATTTTTGTTTCTAAAGAAATAGC